TACTTCGCTACAAGGCAGTGAGGGGAAACCATTTATTTAATATTTCCTTTTATTATTGTGTTATGTGTAAATATATGGGCGGGATGGCAACAAAATTCGACTTTATTTCGTATTCATTGTTTTGTACATTCGGTCACTGCAATGTACTATATGGAATACTTGCTACTGCTACAGATTTCACACAATACTTTTTTATCTCTATATACGAGTATTTTGTATCCAAACATTCATAGCTTCATAGAACGTGGTGGAATTATAATTAATTTGTTGATTTTTTGTGGTTCAAATATGTAAATTTGGTGAAAACTTTTACATATTCGTTTCGTTCGTCCTCTCGCCCAGTTAACACAATTATGAATATTCAGAAGAGTTTTTCTTGCCCTGCACTTGTGTGAGTAGAAATACACATGTGTGTTCGCTGGGCATTCTAAGCCGATTTAATGAAACCGGATAAAAACGCAAATTTCTGAAAAATTGTCCACTCTTAAAACTTCGCAAATTATTCATGAACCAACTTAGCTTGAAATGCTCACACAACAATGGGCGCCATGTAAAAGGAAAAAGTACAGAACAAAATTATATGAAATCATTGGCGGAAAATTATTTCGGAAACAGCTGGCAAACTCAAAAGTTTCGCTGGGTCCGAATGGCTTAACGAGTCCAAAAAATAGAAAAAATAGCACAAATTTTACTTACATATGCTGCATGTGCGAATGTCACTTTAACGGACTTCTTTCGGTACTCCACTTTTTGCATTACTTGGTCCGCCGAGACTGCTCTTTGCGCCATGTTTGCTCCAGGCAGTTCATCAGCGTCGTTGGCAACATGTCCAGTTAAAATTAATTTCATAATTTTTCATGTGATAATAAAAAATATAAAAGTTACTTTAGTTCTACGTAAATTAGCCAGTTCACAGATATTTTTTTTCGAAAACTTTTAATTAAGGAAAGGCAAAGTAGTTAAAATTTTGATGTTTTAATTGCGGTGCCTGTTTGCAATGTAGTTGATTCGTTAAGTAGATTATAAAATAAGCAAAAAATATTTCAATTTTACTACTTAATAGTTTTAACTAAATTGATTTAAAAATATTTCAAATAAATTTTTTAATAATCTTACATTTAAATAAATGCTAACAGCTACAGTGGAGTAGGGTTGATATAAATTTTAAAAAAATTTGTTAAAATACTTGAACTTGTTTTCATTCAATCTAACATTAGTATCCAGACCTCCACTCACTTATTGAGCTCTATAGACTAGAGCTGCAAGATTGGAACTCTGTCACTATGATACAAACACTCTGTGTACTCATTTTACATTTGGTCCAGAATCTCATCAGCTTAAATAGAACATCAAGTTTCGAGTGTTTAATAGGAGAATGCTCCGAGACTGCATTAATTTTTGAGTTGGGAGACACTTTCTGAACTCCGCTATCTACAAAGTCTTCTCGTTTAGATGACTTTTTATTTTTCCTAGCACCTTAGGCCCTAGTTATTTTGAATAAATACGTGATATGTTTTAATAACATATTAATAAATCATTATTAATTAATCACTGTAATTATATCAGTAGATTTAATATGTTGTGTGGGGGGTTTGAATGAAATTTGTCATGGACTCAACTAAAAATAAATTAAAAATTATTCAATAAAAAATGAATTTTATTAAGAAAACATCAAAAAAATTTTAAAAAATATATACTCGTAACATGGTTAACAGAAAACCAATCGCATTGATTTCATTATAACATAAATGTGATCCGCAGAAGCATTGTAGTGCATCGCTTTCCTTGCAAATACCTCCTCTTTTTACTTCGCATTGTTATTAAAAGTAAATTCTTTGTCTTGATATGTCCGCAGTGCATTTAATCATTAATTTCATTTAATTTTGTTAAGTATGTATACCAAAAGCTCTGGCTTTTAGCGAATTTAAAGAGCACTTTTATTTATTATCATAAAATTAGCATGCTTTACTGCCAATAATGAGCTTTATTTTTTTTTGGGATCACTCTACTCTTATCGTATTTCTTATAAGCTTATATTTTACATTACGATCATTTGTAGTTACAATTTCGTCTGGATAATCAAACTCAATCCATTCAAAATCTGAACTATTACTATTACATCGCTGCGGTGGAACCGCATTCGATATTCACGTAACTCATAAATCGATCTTGAAATTGATAATATTACGTTTTCGCGTGCCAACAAGCTTAAATATCTCGGCATTATACTGTAACCCAACCACTATTTTAGGTTTCATATAGAATGTAGCATCTATCTAGCATTATAAATGTACTGAACTCAAAAATGTACCGAACGCATAATAAACTTAACTACATAGTGGTCTGGAATCAATTTTGCTCAAATGGAAAAAAAACCTATATATTTGAACGTAACGTCCTCTGCGATTGTAACAACGAGTACCTACTGTCGTTCGTATTATCTATTTTTTAAAGTTCTCCAGTCTAGCTCATTTCCACATAAATGAATACCTATTATCAACCATAATCCTTCCCAGCGTCTTTCATTATATTTCAATATGTTATTTTCAGCTGTTCCAATCATTTCTTTTCAAAATGGCATTTAATGTAAACTTGATTATAAATTTAACAAAAATATCTGTCAACCACTTTTGTGCTTTTTCGTTTTTTTTTTCTTCCTGAATTATTGTACATATATTTGGACTTACATAAACTCAGTTTTCTGAGAGCTAAACTTATTTAACCTTCTTGTTCTTCTCAGATTACTGAAATGAGATTTTAAGGAATCTGATTTCACGATCAATGGCTAAAATTTTTATTATTCATTCCGAAAATAAGGTTTTAATACAGTCAGTATTACATTGTAGCTTTCCATCTACAGGTAAAATAAAACATAAATTCCTTAATAAATAATTAAAAACAGAAATTTAAAAACTCATATTCCCTAATTTTAGTCGAATATCGCTTAACCATTACATATTCAAAAAAAAATAAATTTTAAGAACTATGAAGCCCTTCGATATTTTCATAACGAAACTATTGCATATTCCAAGAAATTCAAAACGCTGCCTTTTTCCTTTTTTCTCATCACAGGTACTAAAGTACTCATCAGTGAAAATTTCAATGAATTAAATAATACAATTTTTTTTGTTGTTTTTTTACTACTGTTTGAACCCTTTTAACTAAAAAATAATTTCTTTTCTGCATAAAACGCGTCATATTATATTTCACTTTAAAAATTAATAATTTTGTTAGTTTTGTTTTTAATAACAACATCACAAACAAATTTCTCTTTTAAATATTATTTTTCAAACACATTTTGTGTAAAAATTATCCGGAATTATTATTTTTAAACGACGTTCGTTGTCAACTTTTAACGCCATTAATTGATTGATTTATTTAAACTAGCTATAACAATTGTCCAAATAGAATTCGAATTTAAAATGTAGATGATTTTTCGGACTCAGCTGAAAACGGGAGTTTTCCAAAAGTGACTTTTTAAAAATGAGTTCAAACTTACAAACCAGTTCAAAATTTAACTTGAATTCGTTTTATTACAAAATTGGAATAATTTTTACGTACACCTGGCACACTGGTAATAAAAAGCTATGTAAAAAGGTAAAAACTATAAACAAAAATTGCCTCAGAATCATAAACTGCAAGAAAGACTGTTGTTTACTAGAGGAGTTCATTTAGTTATAATAATATAGTATAATAATTCAAATGAATTATTGGATTTCAGTTTATTTACTTATGTGGCGGCTATATCAACGAGCAAGTATGTTAAGAAGACTAAATACTAAGAAAATTTAAAGAGCCGGATTTAGTAAATAATGTTGAGGATTTACATTGTTAAATACTATTTCAAATCATTAAGTAAAAATATTCGGAAATCTCGATTTCTAATAATCATATATATAAAAATTGCATTAATATTATTTTGCATTTACTGAAAAGTGCACATCTTCTTGCATTATGCATTTGCAAATATACTCTGAAATTGCAAAATGTTAATTGAAATGGAAACCATATGTTTTCGGAACATTCTCGTTTCCATTCACGCCAACCAATGAAATGTGTAATAAAGTTAATTAACATTGCCATAATATCATTTCTTTTCACACTTCCATTTCGTGCATTTTCCACATTAAAAGATTGCATTTCAATAGTTTTCTCAGCGGTTCGCAATCATGACTCACGATTCGGTAATGAGATCTCCGCAGTGTAAGTCTGACGACTTACACTCTGCATTAGTGCAGATAGTTTAACTCAGCACGAGCCGGTTTAATCAGTTGAAATTTCTTTCAGTTGCTTCGCGTTTATTGCATTAATTATACTAAATGGTTTGCACTTTATGGAGTTCAATCTTCACTCCAAATTGAGACTTCATAGGTAAACAATCAACAGTCAACAATGAATGTTGAATGCTTGGTTGCCACAACAAAGTCGCCTGAATAAAGTTACCTATAAACTGTGTAATTTTGTGTTGCAATACTTATCCAATGTGCAACTGTTGCTGTGAAGCAATTTCAGGTATCTTAAGACTTGACGCTTGTGGTAATGCACCGACGATTTCCACTAGCTCATGGGTTTCATGCTGCAAATGCGGCGCCGATTGCACTTGCAAGTGCAGAAATGTGCGAATGCAATTGTTGCGTCCGCTGGAAACTTGGAGTCGAAGTTGCCGTTCTGCTTTCGATGATGAAATCGCGCACATGTTGTGCTATGAATCAAATTCGCTTTTCTTTCAGCTGATGTTGTTGTTATTGTTGTTGTTGTTGTTGTTGCTGCCCCACTAACTTACAAGTTTAAAAGTAGCAACAGTGGCCGCTAACGCTTCTGTTTATACAATTTTTTATTGCTTTCGGCTCATGCGATTTGAACAATTGCGACATTTTCCAATCTCATGCGGTTTTGCAGATTTTAATCAAGTTTCGCATACGAAAAACGAAATTTGGAAAACTGAGGCTTTTTTCAACGACTTCGCGCATGCGCCTTTTAAAGCATTTTGTGAATATTTTAGTTCAATTCTGCTTGCAGGCCGTGATGGTTTAAGATTCTAAATCTTGGAAAATATAACTCCACTCATCGAAACTACAGGAATATGTGCCGGTTTATTTTATTATTATTTATTGTGAAATCTGTGTATTGTCAAGACTGTTATCTATCGAAACCCCGTAAGTTGAAAAAAAAAAAAATTTAAATGTTTGAAAATCAAAGATAAACCATATAATATTTATAACAAAACTAAAAGGATTTGAATTAATGAAAAATATTAAAAAGTAAAAAGGACTGATATGTGTAGAATACTCTTAATAAAATTTAAAAATTCATTTAATAGTAACATTGATTCAAAATAAAATTTTGTTGTTGCAATTCACTACTGTTCGAAAAACCTCTCTAAATTAAGTTAAATTATATTAAGTTAAACTAAATTAAATTAAATTAAAATAAATTAAAATAAATTTGAATTAAATTAAATTAAATTAAATTAAATTAAATTAAATTAAATTAAAATAAAATAAAATAAAATAAAATAAAATATAATAATAAAATAAAATAAAATAAAATAAAATAAAATAAAATAAAATAAAATAAAATAAATAAAATAAAATAAAATAAAAAATAAAATAAAATAAAATAAAATAAAAAAAATAAATAAAATAAAATAAAATAAAATAAAATAAAATAAAATAAAATAAAATAAAATAAAATACAATAAAATAAAATAAAATAAAATAAAAAAAATAAAACTAAATAAAATAAAATAAAATCAATTAAATTAAATTAAACTAAATTAAATTTATAAATCGTTTAAAACTAAATTTAATGTTGTAAATGTTAAAAATTGTATTAGCTAGTATTTACAATTTGTCATCATTATTTTAATTATATTGTTTTTCTTAACGGTTGGTAATAATTTTTGATCAGAATTTAATTTTTGCGAAATTTTAGTGTTCATCATGTTCATGCCATAGTATTTTTAGAATTATTCGAGAGATCCACAATTTAAATTATTTGAACTTGTTGATAATGCTAATTGTATTTATATTTTTAACAACTAATTTTGTTACTATAAATGACTATTTCTCTAGTGGTCAGTATACATATTTGCCATTTATTACCAAAGGGAAATAATATGCTGTTTTATTTACAAAATCTGAATTTGCTTCCTGTTTCTTTTTTTCAGCCGATTTCATAGACGAATGTAAAATACAGGAAAAAAATTTCATCAACTGCTCAACTAAGAGCATTCAAAAATTATTCGATAAATTAAATGATGGTAAGTCAAAATAATAAAGTACAAATGATTTCATGGCTTTATGTTCGCCTATAGGAATTCCTGGTCTGAATAGTATTAAAAGTTTTGATCCATTTCATTTGAATCGCATTAAAATATCGCAGGGTAACAGCAACGCCATCAACTTGAAAGTGGAACTGTCAAACGTTAAAATTATTGGTTTTGGAAGAACGAACGTATTAGAGAGTATGTAAGTTTTACTTCATATGACTACATATAATCATTATTTGATGTAACGTGTGTGTTGTGTTTAATCTTAAAGTGTTTACCCAAAGGACTTTAGTTGGAAGACCACTTTTGTATTGCCTGTAATGAAATTGCAAGGTGACTACAATCTTATTGGACGTATTTTACTAATTCCACTAAATGGACGTGGACAAGTTTTCTTAGATGCCGGTCAGATCAATGTTATACCATACTTTCAATTTTTTTTAATACATATGTATGTACAATAAATTTTAGATAATATGACAATCATAATGCACTCCAAGACACGCCTTTATGAAAAGGCAGGCTTTACATTCTACAATGTAACAAATTGTGATGTTGATTTTAAGATAGATGGACTCAAATCATATTTCTCAAATTTATTCAATGGAAATAAGCATTTAGGTATGGAATATTTCTAACCACGTAATACGTAATACGAATAGTATTTATCTTCTAATTTATATGCAGAGGATAGCACAAATAAATTTTTCAACGATAATTGGCGTATGCTTGCCGATGCATTGTACTCTGTCATCACGCAAACCATTGAGGACGTACTGCTCGATGTGTTAAAGAAGATATTTCATTACATACCAGCTAACTTTTTCATAAGTGATATTCCGACGCCTGAAGAATTGTACGGAAAGAGCCAATTTAAGGAAAAAGGACACACAGAATAACATTTATGAACTTATATAAATAAGAAAATCGTTAAAAATATTATAACACTATCTTCTTAAGCCTAAAATTATGTTATATTTAATTTTATGAGACAATGAATTGCTATAACAATTCAATTTAGAAGCAATAACAATCTTGTTGCGCTATAAAACCTCAATTTGAGTTTGTGTAATGTGCAATTTGATAACACGACAACACAAAATTCGACTCCACTCGACCTGCATACAAATTATAACAAAGTTTTTATACAAAATTTGTAAATGTCGATTAATGAGGAATAAATTTGCATTTATTGCACATAATTGTGTGATAATAATTTTTAATAAAACACCAAAATAAAAATACATTTTAACCTCCGTTCAATTTTTTGTGCATAGTTTTTCGGTTTTATAGCACTCCACAGTATTTGAAGGTGCGCCATAGCAACACAATTTGCTGTATTTGGCTTTGTTAATGCCACAAAAAAGGGTATTTTCATTTTAAAACGATGTCAGTAGTGGTCACCAACGACTATAAACAAATAAAAATAATTGCATTTAACCCATAATGGCTGCAAATACAATATATGGATTACCTGTCTATGGGGTCATAATAACAAAAACAATGGCAATAATTATTTAGCCAAAAGCACAAACCACCGAAACGGTTTTCAATGGACCAAACATGCTTTCATGAAATCGTTATTTTATTCTCTTATTAACTAGCCGTAACCGGGAATACTTTAGATTATATGGTTGATGTATATACAATTTTGTTCATCCAAATCTATATATGTTATAAATAAAATCTTAATTGATATTTGGTATAACTAAGTACGAAGTAAGTAAGTAGATTGTATGGTTGATTTTTATACAATTTCGTTGATACAAATCTATATCTGTTATAAATAAAATCTTAATTGATATTTGGTATAAGTAATTACGAAATGTAATCTCTAAATATTTATACGATGATGTGAATGTTAATGAATGAATGCGAGTGTAAAGCACTTCAAAACAGCATTAAAAGTAGTAGTCAACTTTAGATACCACATTTTTTAGTCAATCCAACTCTTCCACGAACATAAAGAATTCAAATAGAAATACCTGTTTTTTATTCATTATAAATTAAATATATATGTAATGAAAATAAAATGAAAATTTTATGATACTACATGGAATATCTGAAACGTAATGTATTCATATATGAAAATCGCTTTTCAGATCATTTCGGGAACCTAACGATGACGCTTGGAGATAAATTGACTTAAATCAACAGTCTTACCAAAAACTTTTTATATGCTCAGTGAAAATTATTCATTTGCGCATTAAATATTCGGAAATCACTTAAAAAAATATTTTATCTATGAATACCTCACTCATTTTGCTAATGAAATTTTCTGTAATTTTTTTAGCTCCATACATACCTTATTTCAGTTAAAAATATATACACATATACTTCTACTACACAGCAAAGTAACAACACTCCAGAAAAATGTGCGAACATAAAAGTCAACTATTTGGGTCAGTTGCTTAAGGTGCGATGGCTTCTGAGCTTCAAATTTGACAGGACCGGAGTTCGATTCCTGGTACTTCCAGTCTCAAAAAATTTTTAACTAATAACGTAATACAAGATTTATTTCCAAGACGACTGATGATGGGTATTGGACAATACTCGAAACAGCTGTACGGTTGGCCAAAAATTCAATTAATTAAAATAATATAAAATAAATTTTTGTTGCTGTAGTTCACTACTGCTCAAAAAACCTGATATTCTTCTACTATAAATGTGCATCGTTCAAAATTAGTGAGATTTTAAGCCAATATATCGATACCTTCAAAAAGTTTAACCGCAAAACAATTTTCATGGACAATTTTTTATTTGCAACATTAAATTTTCCTTTCCATAATTTTATAAAAATCATATTTCAATTTAATTGGATTTACCAATGATTTTAAACATAAAATATTTAGATAGAAATTTATGTGTACGAGGGTAGCAAAATAAGTTTTTCATAAATTCCAAATATCATCAAATTTTCTTTAAGAAGTCATGAATATATATTATAGTAATCCTAAATATATTTATTGAATTTTTTTTTCTGGTTTTAAATATTTAAGTTTTTTATTACACATATGAGGAAAAGTCCTTAAACTTTTTAATATATTCCTGCTAATTATGGCAATATAAACCATTTATAAAATAAATTTTTTCACGTGCAGGCTTTGAGTTAAATTATTTTTTGACATTTATTATATTTATTGCATTTAACATTTTAATAAAATTATTTTCATACACATAAAATATAATCTCGTTAAGGCGTATTGTGTGCGGGCGGTTCTAGTTAAAATGTTTGTGGCTTTTTATTTGAATTGAGGTTATTGCAATCAATTTATTTACTATTTTTTATGTGTACTATTTGTCCATTGGAGGCGTTTCGAAATGTCATTTTAGCCGCAAAACGATTTTTTCATATTAGAAAAATTTAAATTTTGTTTTGTTGCAAATGCAATTGCACTTCATTTTCATTTGGGTGTTATCCTTTAATAAAATCTTATGGCACAAACAAAATGAATTTGCTTATATTGCAATTGTTTAATCCTTGTAAAATCATGCATACAATTGTTTGCCCACATAAACTTTACTGCAGAAGCGACAAGGTTCCGTGACCAAAATATTTTCATTTAATTTACAAAAATCACAAATTTTACAAAATTGTTCCTTTTGCATTCTGGCAGAGCAGAGGATGTGCAACAAACAAAACCACTCACGCGCAATCCACGTTGACTTTTGAGGCACTCGAGGGTAAACAAATCCAAATAGCGTTCCATGCGTGCAAAGATTTAGTTTCCTAGCCGTTATGCGCCAATATTTGGGTTACGTTTTAGTATTTGGAAATGTGCTGTGCCTAAAATAAATTTCGAATGCCACTATTTTAGTACAAAAAAATCTTAAATGGCACAGAGAATGCGAAGTGCTTTAATACACAAAATCTTCATGTGTTTCATGTTAGCTACAAAGTAGTAGCCAACAATTTCTGTACTAATAAAATTAGTTGCAGCCGCTTTAAAATGCATAAGCAGAGTCCAATTCAGAAATATTTCTGCCCAACACTGTACGAAAGTTTATTTTTATGACAGGCCATTTTGACTTTGCAGCTCATTTATGGCACATAATCTCCAGAGAAAATCCTTTTGATGTTTCTGATGATGATTATAATGCTGATGAGCGCACTGATGATGACTTGTTGGCTTTTAGTGACTGCTGCTGTTGCCCACCACCGACCCGTACAGTTTATGCCCATCTGCTTTACGACCATAATTGCTTTTGCAGCTTCTTTTTAATAGGCCGTGCCAAAGCTGTGCTGTTGCACGTTTCGTCTGGAAAGGATACAAAAGTGTAGTGTTTCTCTGTGCCGCTCCTTTCTGCCACATATTGCCATATTTCTTTTCACCAGGAAACGGATGTGCATTGTGTAGCAAAGTTAACTATTTGCTTAACGCCCAGTTTTGACCATGTTGCACTACTTTTTCTATTTGCTTTCGTTGTTGGTTGTTGACTTTTGTTTAAGCCTGCAGATTGCAATACAAAATGTACAAAATTAAACTTTGGCTTCCCTAGGGGTTGCTTTCCTTTTTGTTTATTTTTAGGGGTTTCGAATTTTATTTTCGTGGTTAAACGTTTTTTGCATAAATATTCATTGTGCTCTTTGATTTTTATCGATGTTGAATTTTTTATGCAACCATAAGAACTAATAAAGCTTTAAACTTCATTTATTTATTTTAAAAAATAGCACAGAAATGCATATAAATTTGTTTTTAAATAAATGTTTCTGTTATAACTACAGGGCCTTGATATTTTTGTTTTTATTTATTCGGTCCCCTATATGTACACTACAATAAAGTATGTGAATCTGCAGTACTGTTAAAGGTCCTCGAAATAATGAGTATAGAGAAGTAAAAGTAAATAGAGAAAAAAATAAAGAAAAACAGAATCAAGAAACAAAAATAGAAAAAATATCGAAGGAGATTTGATTGAGATTAATTTAAAAAATTAGTTAATTTAATAATTTTTTTTAATTAAAAATAAATTATTATTAAGTGATTCACATGGCTTAAACATGTTCAACTGAAAAGAATTAGCTGTGCCAAAATTCTTCATTACCTCCAACCGCTATTTAGAAAAGAAAACCTCAATGCTAAGAATAGGAAACTGATATATAACCAAATAATTTGTCCGTCACTTCTATATGGTTGTGTAGCGTTTAGCAAAGCTTCAAACACTACTATTCACCAATTAGAAATTGCACAAAGCCAGGCTCTGAGAAGACTTTTCAAAGTTCCTTGGTATATTAGGACGAATGACATCCTTAGGGACCTCAAGATTGATCCCATCAAAAAATACATAAAGGATAGAGCCTTGAAATTATTTGCGAAATCTGACAGACTTACTAACACCGCATTATCAAATCTCAGAATGGTTACAGGCTCCTCGGGGAGGTATGCAGATCTGAGGTCAATTATTACTTAGTCTGATGATGTGATAAATAATAATCCAGTCAAGGCGCAAAGAGGGGTTTTGAAGAAACCTCGCAGTTAATATAGAGTAAAAGTGCTCAGGTGCACTGACTCAACTTCCCTCAACATAATAATATATTGTAAAACAAGAAACTATAAACTAAACTTATAAATCAAGTCACTGCTACTGGGAACTTATTAAATTTTGTTCTCTGGCTGTAACTGTCAATTCTTCATTTTGTATTGATAGCACAACAATTGGTGACTGTGACTGCAATTATATCACGACCCATTAGATTGGATTAGATTTAAAAACGGGTTGGGACTGCATCTTTTAAGGATTATTGTGACATACCCACTTTAGTTCCATACACGTCTCATGCGAAGCTTTATTTGGCAGTTCTGTTCCACATATGTCACTGAAACAGCGCTGCCAAATCAATACCAGATTATAGGTTTAAGTCCGATATGTACATTAGAGCAAAGTTACAAAGTACACAAATGACCAAATATCTCGCAGTGGTAAAGGTCTTTGTTTTAGCAGTTTTATTAACAACAGAAGATCGAACAGAAATAGTGATTGCGAAAATAATCTTCTCCTTCATTTTGAACTGTGCATTGATAAGTTTCAGATATAAAATGTCGGCGAACGTCCAAGGAGTGCCACAACACCCGAAATCCTTGATAAAGTCTACAACATTGTTCGCAGAGATCAAAGTTTGTCTAAGCGCAAAATTTGTGATATAATAGGCATTTCAGATGAACAAGTAGTCTATATTTTAAAACAAAAATTTTGTATCAAAATGATTTTCGGGAAAAGATCTGGCTTACGGAAGAAAAA